AAGTCTACTGGCTTTTCTGACTTTGCTAGTCAAGGTTTTAGGTGTAGTCAGTCTTGTGCATTGCTCATTACAGTTGCTTTAGTCCGTAACCTGTAGATGCCTGTTGTGATGAGTTCTTACATCGAGAAGGATGGCAGTTGCTTTGAAAACTGACATCTTTGGAGTTATGCTAGATCCCTGGGATTTGTTGCCAATGTAGAAATGAGTGTCACTTTGTCTGAGTCTCTGCTGCTACTTTGTTTTGGGGGAGTAAACCAAATTCTAGACTTCTCCAAGGCCTTTGCGCTTTCTTCCACACATCATTTCCTAGCTCACTCCATTTTGAAAGAGTGTGCTCAAAGATTAACTAATGCCACCCTTACTGCAATGGCTTGGCTGGAATGTTTGAACAATTGTCGTGGCCCGGCATGTCTCAGCCCCAAGCCACGGTAACCATGAGGTTCAGCCTGAGTGGGGAAGTGTGGACTTGGAAACTCCCAGCAACCCAACTGTGATAAAGACCAAACACAGGCATCTTGTCATCTTTAGAGAGCTCTCAGTTCCATGCTGCAAAACTAGAGTATCTTCTTTATTCAGCATCTTCCTGGCTGTTTCCTAACCATGCTTCCCTAGCCATGAGGCCGTTATTCTCTCCTCTAGTCGACCCCTCTGCCTAGTTGCCCCCTAACTCTCTCCTGTGTCCTCACTTGTTACTTACACACCTAGCCCTCTGCCCAGGTGCAGGCCTACTCAAATGCTTAGTTCTGTAGAGATGCAAACTAGGGGACATTCCCCACTGAGGCCATGCAATTAATAGCAAATCAGCTAGCATCCGCTATTCAATGCAGGCCCGAGTTCCCTGTTCCTGGAACCCTGGAACCAGAGGTTTGGATATTTCCTAATGGAATTTTCATGGCCCCCAACAGAACATATGGCATATGTGTCATCTATTAGTTCTTCTGTTGTTTTACTGTGTCTTAAACCAGAGAACACTTTCATATGTTCTCAATAGCAGGCTGCTGACATCTGTGGCAAACTTTACAGGAAGTACCTCCCAGCCATTGAAATCCTTGGTCTATGCCAGTCCTATCTATCAATCCCATCACATAGATAGCTATGTGTGTATCTGCCTCTACAAAAGATCTGTGGATATTTAAAAGAGTGAAAATGAATAATTAAGATTATTAGGGAAAATGAAAATAAGGATAGGAAAAATAAAATATGATAAAGAAGCACCATATAACCCCTATAGTAACTAAATTTTATTCTGAAATTCTTAGTAGCCAAAGAGAACTAGGACTACGAGTTCATTGTGAGTCTCATAGACACTTGGAAGAAACATACTGTTTCCTCACACTGAGATCAGGATGAAAGTCCTTCCTTAAATTTTACAAATAGCCATATATACATGCAGAGTGATTAGACTCGGGATTGTGGGGGAGGACATTATGAGGGAAGGGCATGATGGGGGGCTGGGAGGAGAGGGAGAGGGAGAGGGAGAAGGAGGTGGATATGATCAAAATACAGAGTGAAATTCGTGAAATTCTGAAAGACCGAATAAAAATCCTACAACCAAGGATATATCATGCCCAAATAGATAGCATACTGATTTGACATGGCATTATTTTGTAACAACCTTTTATGTTTGTGGGTGTGGGTAGCATGCAATGGTAACAACATTTCTAAAACAATGTCACTTTTGATTGAATCCCAGAGAACTAGCCCATGAGCTCTCTTTATTCTCCTTTCTTTCATCTGAATTTATTGAAAGATAAATTTCTTTCACTGTCCTACTACTCTTGGGTGAAGGGACCAGCTTCCCTTTTGGCAGCCATAACGGCCGAACACTGCTCTATGACCTTGTCTTAGTCACTAGAAAGTCAGATGCCTGCCTCGTGACAAGGAACCAATCAGAAGTTAGTTAGTCACTAGAAAGTCAGAAGCCTGCCTCCTCACAAGGAACCAATCAGAAGTTAGCTTTACGGACAAGCACACAGCAATGACGCAAAGCATAGCAACCACCCTGGGAGGGCCTATGGGCCATAACAACCAATTGGCCAATCAACACAGGGCAAGCCCTCCAAGCCTGGAGGCACACCAATCGTGAGCCTAGACACTGCACATATCCTTAGACACTCCCCTTACGCTGTCCTATAAGATCTCTTGGGAGACCCTAGGAGCTGTCTTTGCTAGCCATCCGCCATGGCGGGTGGGTGAAAGACCTGAGCTAACATGGGGTTAGCTCATTAAATTACAATAAAGCTTCATGCAGTTTGCTGCAAGCTCTCGAATCTGCCTGGTGATTGGGGTGGCCAAGGTCGTGTCCTGGGACCCCGGATACCTGAGTTTTCTGGGGGTCTAACATGGGAAGGTGGGTTCTCTCTCTCTTTCTTTCTTTCTTTTTGAAGACAATGTCTTACTATGTTTGTAACTTCAGCAGACACTGAACTCACAACCCTCCTTCCTCCAGCTCCCAGCTGGTGGATTACAGTTGTTCACTACCACACCCAGCTTTTTTAACTTCCTTTTACCTTCAAGTTTTTCAAAGCTATATAAAGTATCCTTTAAAATTATTAATGTTCTTTTCATCATCATTAAAAGCTGTACTTTTTAGATCACACAGATTCCTTTATGTGTTTGGGTTTTGTTTGGTAGAGCAGCTGTGGATCTTTGCAGTCTGGTAACTTTTGAAAATTATTGTTCGGTTAGCATACAGAAAAAATAGGTTTCATTATAATATTTTCATAAATACATACCATTATACATTTTATTATATTCTGTTCTAATGGCCTCCCTCAATTCTTTCCCAATCTCTGTCTCCTTTCTTACCTGTCCCCAGCTGACAAAATCACAGAGCTAACCCACCAGGATCACACATTCTGATGGAGGAGGCCCCCACACAGGGCAGTGGGAATACTTGCTTTATGAATAGTCACTGTCCTTACTGTGAATTCCCCGAGAAGCCATAGCACTCCCTTTCTATGATGGGATTCATCCCCAAAACTCCAACAGTGTATTAATCATTTACAGGGCACATTTTCCTCTATGCAGTGATATATTGGATGACCTCCCCCCCCCAGCAATGCATGCTTCTCAACCAGGTCTTTGTATAAACTTGTAAGTCTGTCTCTCTGTAATTACCTTCATTGGCAGACAGTTGGTCAGTGTTAGTGTCCAGGCAAGGACAACTGAGACATTCACAGATGTCCAAGAACAAGAATTATGCCATGTCTAAAGTTGTGAGCCATAGCTATCAGAAAGATAGAAAACAAGAGTGTCCCGGATTCTCTCTGCCAGCAGATAGGAAAGTACTGTCCCAAGCTACCCTTACGTTAACTTTAAAGCATGCCTATTCATTACCTGCCAGTCTAGTAACAATAGATCCATGTCTTAAAGTCATCATGGGGCACTGTGCCCTCACTGTCAGGTCATGGTTTTGCTCCTATAGCCCTGGACCTTGTGTCACCATGGTAAACAAACAGCTCAGTTCCTTATTGCTTGCTCTGGAAATGTGCTTTTGACCAATGAGAGAAATTTCTCTATCATTTCAAGGCTCCTGAATGAGAAGAGTTTTTAGAATATAAGAAGCTAGAAGAAGCATGGAGCAGTTAGAAGTAGGACAGGATTATTAGAGTAGAAACAGAACAGTAAAGAGCACAGGAAATAAAGAGCAGGACCCTCACTCCTGAGAAGCATCTCACCTTTTGGAACCCTGGGTAGGGGCTGGAGCAGGTCTCTTAGTCCTTACACCCCACAGCTCCTTTTCTGCTGTCAGGATATATATAGTCCATTACCCACTTTATCCTTACGCCCTTAGACCTCTGCATCCTCTGTCACAGTTAATTTCGTCTTTCATGTCATTTTTTTTCTAAATCCAGATACCATATATGAGAGATAACACATGGTATTTATCTTTCTCAGTCTGGCTTATTTCTTTTAACATGATTTTACTTCCACCCATTTTCCTATGAATGTCATGACTTCACTCACTGTTTATATGTACTGTATTTTCGTTTTTTAAAGATTTATTTATTTATTTTCTATACAGTGTTCTGCCTATATTCCTGCAGGTCAGAAGAGGGCACAAGATCTCATTAGAGATGGTTGTGAACCACCATGGGGTTGCTTGTAATCGAACTCAGGACTTCTGAAAGAGCAGCGAGTTCTCTTAACCTCTGAGCCATCTCTCCAGCCCTACTGTATTTTCTTTATCCGTTCATCTGTTGGTGGACATCTAGGCTGGGTCCATAACTTGGCTCCTGTAACTAGTGCAGCAATAAGA